CTGTACTCATCAGCCACCAGCTTCTTCCTCTGTCCTGGGCTTCTGTGGAAGGCTTGGCAAGGTGCGACACCTTGGTATGAGTAGAATCATAGATGGTTTGGGTTGGAAGGGACCTCAAACATCATCCAGTTCCAACCCCCCTGCCATGGGCAGGGACACCCTCCACTACACCAGGTTGCTCAAAGCCCCATCCAACCTGGCCTTGGACACTTCCAGGGATGGGGCATCTACAGCTTCTCTGGGCAACCTGTGCCAGTGCCTCACCACCCTCAGAGGGAAAAACTTCTTCCTTAGATCTCATCGAGATCCCCCCTCGATACAAGGGTACAGGTATATACGATACAAGTACAGCAAGACTAAACCACAACCAGCAGCCAGGAGGGCCCCAGGGAGCATCATCATCCTCCTCCTCAGCCACGCCTGCTGCTCTCGCTGTCGCAGCACATCTGGGCACTCCTCCTGTACAAACGGAAGTGATCAAAAGTGGTGCAAGGAGAAAATTTGATACTAAACTGCCCCATGTCAGATCTGCTACTGCAACCGTTCAGGGAAAGGTTGGTCTCCTCCTCTCGTGGTTTTTTTTTTTTCTTTCTTTCTTCTCCTTACAAGGTGGAGTATTTCCTTTGGGACTGAGGGTTCATCCAAGGCTTCTAACAGAAAAAACAAGATACTGAGTTGAGCTTTCATGAGCTCTTTGAGGCCTCCCGTTAATGAACCTTAATTATATGGTAATTTGTCTGTGGAAGCATTCTAGCAATAAAAATATTCAGTACAAGCTTCAGTCCAAACTCAAGGCCTCTTAGCAGCGCAAATAACATGGAGATTTTTAATTAACCCCAGGATAAGGACTCAAACCAGGGTCCTAATCTTTGATGTCAGGAAAATTCAGTGTTTCCATGGTGACAGCATCTTCCCAGGCCCCATCCTCCTCCAGTGGCTCAGGAGGCAGAGACTCAAAATCATCCCTGGCCCCACCACACCAGCAGCCAAGGTTTCCTCCTTCTGCACCTTCCCAGCCCTGAGCAGGATCTGGCCCTGTGGACTCAGTGGCAACAGTTAGAAGAAGGACTCACATCCAGCCCCCACGGCTCTCCTCCCTTCTCACCCATCATTGCCCGGATGGCATCTGCAGGCCAGGGCCCCCCCCAGGACCCCGAGCCAGAGCAGCTACTCAGACAGCTTTGGTCTTGGTGCTTTAGACTGGTATGGGAAGATGAAACTGGAAGAGCTCTCTGCTATTACACTTCCTGCTGCAGAGCTTGGAGGTGTTCAAGACTCAACACTGCCCCAAGAAACCTGATTTAATTAGATCTGGTTTAAACAGGGTTTGGACTAAATGACTTTTGAAGGTCACTTCCCACCAAAATCATGATCCTACAATTTTCAGTCTTTCCCCCTCTCCCCTTAAAGAATTCATTTCACCACTTCTATCTCTCTGCTGCCCACATGCAGTTAAATTTGGAGCACACAGATGCATCACGACTCAGCGCCGAGATTAGCCAGTAACATCTTATCCACGTAACCTCCTGGCTGTTTTCTACCAGTTGCTTTCTGGGAATCACCAGGCATCACCACGCACCAGCCAGTGCCAGACCAGGCCACCTCCAGTTTGACACCCAGAACGGCGCGAGACAGCACATGACCTACCACTGCATTACAAAACTGTTCCTCTTGGCAACTAATACAACTAAAAAGGATTGCCCTTGTGGTTCCTCCTCTCTCGAGTCTCAACCCAAATTCACTCTGGATAACTGCTCCCAGTATAGCCCTGTAGTTTTTGCAATATGATACTTAAAGGAAAAAAAAAATATAGAAAAGGCTCCCGGTAAAGAATTTCACTCAAGAGAAGAGGATAGCACAAAGAAAGGTTTAGATTAAATTTAAATTTGTATCTATCATTCATCCAGAATGCTTTAATTGTCCCACAGCTCATCAGTTTGTCTGTTTATTCACATTTTTGCTAAGTTCTGTCAAAACCTTAGAAGGGAACATTAAATAACATGGATCAAGAACTCCGAATAATGAGGGCAGTCCTTTGAAAGCTAAATCCTAAGAAATGTGAGCTTCTCGCCTAGTAAGTTGCTTAACTGGAACACATAAATAAATAAAGCATTTACGCAACGCTTAACAGGTTCAGAATAATTAGAAGCGAGTTTGGGCAGGTTCTGGATTTTTAGAAGCAGCTGGCTGCAGCTGTTATGGAGGAGGAACAGCTGCCACCCACCGTGCAGGCGTAAAGTCACCTACAGGACAGTAAAGTGTGACTACCACAGGCTAACACGGGGTTAATCCTGGCTTCTCATTTACAAAGCCTTCCACCTCCGGAGTAAAAGAGCAAAATGATATATTGCAAAACACGTGTTGTGCCAGATGTAACCCAGCCAGCAAAAAGTAAATTTCTGCACTGATCCCCACCCGTAAAGCCAGCAAGACTCATTCAGTACGTGTATAATTGTGTGGAGATATATATATATGTACAATTAAGTATCAGATGCAGAACAGAAAGGTGTTTTTTGCCTCATTTTTCCAGGGAAAGGAGAACCCAAAGTGCAGTCTCACGGCTGCAGACCACAGCACTCAGATACTAAGATGCCCCATCCCTGGAAGTGTTCAAGGCCAGGTTGGATGGGGCTTTGGGCAACCTGGTGTAGTGGAGGGTGTCCCTGCCCATGGCAGGGGGGGTGGAACTGGATGATTTTTGCAGTCCCTTCCAAGCCAAACTATTCCATGATTTTATGCCAAACACAAAAGTGACAACCCTCAACCAAGACCCTCACTCACAGCACCGAGGCATCCGACACAGCGCACGAACGCGTGCAAGGCTGTTCCAGAGCCTCCCCAGGAGACACCAAAACCCCTCCGAAACCAGGCAAAGAGATGAGTAGTTGAGATTTCCTTTAATTTTATTGCTGATGACTGGTTTTATGACAACTGCTGTCGGAGTCTGCACATGCAGGCTCAACGACGAGGCAGTTTCTTGTCCCAGGAACGGGCAAGGCATGCCAAGGCATAATGGATACGCCTGTGCTGCCCAGCTCAGATAACCCAACAAGGTAACAGCCAACCAAACAGCTCACACAAAGGAAAAGCATCTAAAACATCTGATTCCATAAAGCACAAAACTGCTTAAAAAAACCCAAACCAACCCTAAAGTGAAAACAAAGTTGGACTTCACAGGCACGTTCTTCTGCCGTCCAATGCTCGCAGTGCATCCTTTCCATTTTTCCACAAATACAGCCAAACCAAGCAGAGCTCAAGACTTACCTAGAAGCCATGTTACAACTGAAATGTAACACAGACACAAATTCCTCACAACAAAACCCAATTTCAACACCGTTCCAAACGCAGAATGCTTTGAGCGTGTGTCACGTTACAGATTTCTACACCACGAGCTCAAAGCGCCCTCTGACTGAAGCGTAGCGTGAAAGGATCACGCAGCAAGAAGTCCACCTGAGCGCCAGTTTGGGTTAAGCGAGGGACAGGTGACAGTGGGGACCATGACCAGTGACCCATCCACTCCGAGGAGCTCCAGCACACCAACACATTCAAGCCCCCAAGTTGCACACAAGCAGCCAAAGTCCAGTGCAACCAGCATTCACATAACGGAGATACGTGTTGTTCCTTACTCGCAGTTTTGGCACAGAGTTGGAATATACAAAAAATCCTGGGTGTTAACAAGAGAACGTACAGAAATGATGTCTCACATGGTGGCCTCATTTCCTCCAAGGAGCTTTAGCTGCCTTGCATCAGTCATAGAATGGTTTGGGTTGGAAGGCACCTCAAACATCATCCAGTTCCAACCCCCCTGCCATGGGCAGGGACACCCTCCACTACACCAGGTTGCCCAAAGCCCCATCCAACCTGGCCTTGAACACTTCCAGGGATGGGGCAGCCACAGCTTCTCTGGGCAACCTGTGCCAGTGCCTCACCACCCTCAGAGGGAAGAATTTCCTCCTTAGATCTAATCTAAATCTCCCTCTTTCAGTTTAAAGCCAATCCTTGAAGGTTCATCCATCTTCTGCTATACCACACTATTTCTGCCAAGAAGGGATTTTTTTTTTTTTTTCATTAAATCTTATTTAAAATTCCCTTGAGTGCCCAGGCTTTACCTCTACACACTATCGGTGCCTGTTTGGGAACCGATTACTTACTCTCAACTTACTTGGAGTTGTTCTCTCCCAGAAATACTCACGCAGATTTATAGTATCGTGGGGAGCCTTGACCCCATCAGAATTAACAGGCAGACCCCCAACTCTGGAAACAAACCAGGGAAATTTAGCGTACTCGGGTTCTATTCCTGCCACTCCACGTATCATTCATCACTTCTATTATTTCGAGAAGTACACCAACAGAGCCCAAATAAGTTTTCCATGAAATGTCAGAAATAGACCTCGGACTTTTAATATAAATAAATATACAAAGCTTCAGTGAATTTTACAGATGAGATGAACAGAAGCATTTTATGGAGTCAGAGAATCATTTATTTATGGTCAATTTCTGGCTCCCTTGGAAACAACAGAATCAACACTTGAATTAGTCCCAAACTCCAAGAACATCGTTTGGTTTAAAGATAAATATTTTGAGAATACAAGGAAGGCACTTATTCAACAACATACAGACATTTAAAAACCTACACAAACTATAATAAATGGCCTGAATTCCTGAAACTTACAGCAATATGCATATCATTAGTTTCCCATACGAAAACCATATATAAGTTTTTGGTTACCAATAGCTTCATGCTTATTTTCACATTTCTCTTACTGAGCACAATATATTGTAGTAATTTTTAAACAGATAAATATTTATTTCTCTCTTAGCACTCCTTCAAAAAGTTATCTGCACAAAAAAAAGGTTATTTTGGCACCTTTCAATATAGCGTCCATGTAAACATTTTTTCCTTCTACACACACAGCCACCATCAAATTTCTGTAGCAAGTGCCCTTTGGTAAATCATTCATACGTACATCTGCCAAAAACGCAGCTGAAGTGTGGTGAAATTAATATCTTAGGCTACGAAATCTTGGGTTTCTTAGGCCAAACATCGGTTGTTTGATGGTAGGTTTGTTCTCAAACAGCATCGCTTCGTTTTCTGTCGTTGGAAACCTGTTCTGGTAGATTAGAGGGTATTCCTTCTGAAACTAGAAAACACAAATGCAGAAATTAAAATAAAATAAATCAGACTCTACCAATAACTCCAGCCGTGCAGGACTTGAGCGTGAATCCCCGTGTAAGGATGCACAGCAGCAGCAGGAGCACTACCAGCCTGTAACGCCACTCTGCGGGGACACTTGACCAGAGCTGGAGCCCTTCGTGCTCCCGAGCTCACAACTGACCAACAATGAGTCAAACAGAAATTCTGCCAGGCACTTCACCTTCTGGTGAAACGAGGAAAGCTTCTAATCCCATTTTATTCCCAAGGTTTTTTGTGCTGGGAAAGCTGTCTTTCACAAATAACAACGATAAACGTGCTTTATCGAAACGGAAGCAAAGATTCGGCATGTTTTGAGGGCATTCCCTGAGGAAGGCTTCCTATTTAACCAAAGGAGTCATTTATTAAATTCCTGCAGACATACAACTAAACAAAACTATCTGACTTCTGAGAGGTTTTGGCATTTTGCCTGTTTCCTCTGTAAGGCCTCAGGAAGGAATGCGTAACGGTAAATACATCCGTGCACCAGTAAGAGCTTTCTGCTGACTGGACCTGGAGCAAACCACACCGTTTGTAACTTCTGGTGTTGATACAAGTTGGACCTGACCCTCCAGTCAGTGCCGTGTGTTTGGCTTTCCCCAATTCAAAGTGTCAAAACTGAACAATTGCCCCCAAAAGTTGTGATTTATCACACCACTAGCTATCCCAGCACAAATGGCAAGAGTGCAACGACACAGCTCCGTGAATTTTAAAAACAAACTTTGCTAACATGTGGCCCTTACAGTACAAGCTGCCCCTGGATTTTGGGGGGAACTCGTCAGAAATTGAAGTGTGTACTTCAAGTTTTGCTGTTAGAAAGTTTATTTCCTTCCTCCCCGCTCCACCTGCTTAAATTGCTGCTGTGTATCACTTCTTACTGCTTACTTGTATTCCCAGGTTGAATCGACTGGAATTAACTACTCTTCTTCACATGCAGGAAGTTTTAATCAACTTGAACACAAGTCCAGCCTCCCCTTTCACAGGACCAGCAAGTTTTTACAACACACATGGAAGTCAGCGGTGCAGAAGCTGGGGGAGGGGCACCAAAGAGAAAGAAAAGTGCCTGCTCTGAAAAGCTGCTTTTTCAAATTTGAGTCACAAGACTCATTTAGGAGATTCGAGGACAAGTGGAATACTGTTCAATTGGTCAGAAAGACTTGCCAAAGGTTTTCTGAAAAAGAAAAAGCTCTCCAAGTATTAAATCCTGTCCTAGCTTTAGTGTTAGGCAACACGTCAGTAGGCCACAGAAGTGCCAGGTGATCTGGAGCAATGCACACGTGACAAAACACAGAGCTAAGTCCACAGAAAAGAAGGTTTCAGGACTGGGCACAGACAAAGACTCACGGCTCCTATCACCTATGGATTTTCAGCCCCTCTGTAGCATTGTAATGGCAGACTTGCACAGCCAGTGCACAAGAAACCACGCTGTAGTTCTGTTGCACATCATGTAACGGAGAGCAGGATCTGAGAACAATTTTGTACTGGTTTTACATCCCTGTTGGAACACCACTGCTGCCAGGGAGTACCAACGCTGTCTTACACGCCGTCTTCCAAATCCCAATCAGAGAACAGCTCTCCTCTGCAAAACAAGCATTTCTCTACGTCCACTCTCGTTCCGTGCCAGGGTCTAGTGACTGAGATCCTTCCCTCACAATGGCATTTCCAGAAATAGATGAAATACCCACCAAGTTCCTTACCTGTTTTAACTTTTTCTTTTTGTCTTTCACAGACAAGTTTTTGTCTTTGATGATGTTCTCTAAAAGCTCTGCCACTGCAGCTTGAGAGGTAGAAACCTTTTGTTCCTCAAACTCCTGAGGAGTTATCTGTTTGCAGTAGGAATACGTTGGCAATATAGCACAAATTTCTTCCTTTGGATACTTGCACTGAAAGAGAGGTTGGAGAAGGGGTCTGCATACTCAAACGATTACGTACTACTTCAGTAAGAAGGTAGAATCATAGAATCCCAGAATGGTTTGGGTTGGAAGGGACCTCAAAGATCATCCAGTTCCAACCCCCCTGCCATGGGCAGGGACATCCTCCACTACACCAGGTTGCCCAAAGCCCCATCCAACCTGGCCTTGAACACGTAAGGTACCTACCAAATATCCAAGCATGCTAATTTACAGCGACACAAGTTGCAAAACTTTATGACGTAGCTAATATCTATAACTGAATCAACAGTTTAATAAAACTTTGCATTCAAAATATAGTCGTTTTGTTTGCAGCTTCCCCATCCCACCTCCAGAAGGAACGAATGCCCTGCAAGTAGCAAATGAAAGCTTCTGTCATGCCACCAACCTGAGCCATCTTCACGTACTCTATGTGATCTCGCACGGCGACCTGCAGGTAAGTTGGTACTTTAAATATTTCTTGTTGATGGTCCATCAGAAACGAAACTAATCGTGTTGAAAGCAGCTCATCGAGATCTACTTCTTCTGCACAGCACAGCACGCATCGGGAAAAAGTCTGTATCATCTGGAAGTGGTGAGCAGATCATTAGTTGAGGGATTTGCCTTCTTTCCAGTGGCACAAGGAATTCTCCAACACCAACTTTCATTGCAATCTCTCTTGCCTGCACCACTGGGCAAGAGAGGAGGAAAACTGATTACAATTTTTTCCTCATCTGAAATAAAGAAACTTTGGGTAACATTAGACTTGTGTTTTGTTTTTTTTTTTTAAATTGAACAGTGCTTTCAAGTAAGAAATACACATTTTAAAGAGGTAATAATCAGAAAAACTCTTCTCCTGCAGAAAAGCGTACATCTTCAATTAGCCATGTTGAGACATGCGAGATGATGAAAAACCTGCAGAGTCAACCTCGCCAAAATCTAACGCACATCCACCGTTAAAAAAATGTTTTCACAGCTTTCATATTTCCAGCTTCTAGTTGTCTCATTTTAAACTAGCACGTGCAGGTACTTTGTTGTTCTATCTTGTTTGACAAAAATCTTTAATCATTCCATTGAAAGCTTAAATTCAGACCTTGAAGCTAGTCTTTAAACTCTCTAGCAGAAAATTTACTTCTTTGGAACTGTTTTTGTCATACCTTCACACACACAAATGTTTAGCCCACGAAAAGCTCTCCACAGAAACTTTGCAAACACTTTTTAAGTTAAATGGTGGTTGAGTGAGAAATCAGACTAAACAATCCCTTGCATTCTTTTAAGAAATTATTTCCCTTCTCCTCCCGAAGTAAACAAAAGCAACACCAATATTTGAAATATAGTCAGAGTCATATAAGTCCTTGCCTCAAGTCAGATTTTTGTAAGTATTCTGGAGATGAAAACTCTACCCATTAATCACTATTTAATTGCAGTGAGCCAAGGATGGAATGCCACTCGTGTTGCCAGCATTACTTCAGCCATAAAACAATCGACGTGCTGCACTCAGGACTCCCTTACCAGAGACCGCGTGCCCATCGCGTCGTGCAGCCGTGGCATATCAACATTTTCACTGATCCGGGAGATCATGCGCATCAGGAGCTGCATCTTTCTACGGTTCGGTGGGGGAAGCAACAAGCAACAGATCTGCAGTGCCTCAACAGCGATTCTTTCTAGATGAGGTTGAAGGAGATCTACAAGTTAATTGTAGAGACAGATGTCAGTAAGATTTGAACCAGCTTTCAGGGTGTTTCTGTCCCAATGCAAGAACTTCCATTTTTCTCAACGATAATCTACGCTTCACAGAAACCAGTTGTAACAGTAGATACTATCATGTGGCCTTTTTTTTGTGCAGCCATCTTCAACTCGCTTCATTATGACAAACTGCTGGTACAATTAAGACCATAATACAACTAAGAAATGACACGTTATTTATTCCCAGAAAATGTGTTTCAAAGACCAGGAAAAGACATCTCCTCCAACAGGCAGGTCTGTGCAAATTCCCTGCCTCACTCTCAGACAGTCTCTAGGTTAGAATTACTCACTTACCTGAACAGAAAGGTGAGTTACTGACACATCAAGCTCAAGTCTCCAAAGACACTACACGCTGCTAGTTGTTAGCAGATATGAAAGGCCACCTTCAGACAGCGCAATGTAGCAACCAGCATTATTTTCTTTTTAAAAACCCACAGATGGTGTTATACACATATCAAAAAACCCAAGCAACAGTGCCAAAGATTGAGGAAGAAGAGATTAGTCAACACAGTAAGCCAATACAACATGCTTCAGAAAGCCATCTTACTTTGCGTGCCAGTCAGCAAAGAAGTGTGAGTTAAAGAGCATTTTGAGAGTTCTGTGGTACTTTTGCAGAGTCTCTTACTGACGGTGATAGCAGAAATCCCACTCTTGATGTCCACTGAAGTAGCCACTCCAGAGGTACTCGCTCTTCCTTGCCCACAAAGTTGAGGCCTTGGCTTTACTGTGATTTCAGCAACTGGTATATTAATGCTAGCACAACTTTTAGAGTTCCTTTTGCCCAGTAAACTCAGAGACCTGCCTGTTTGCTTCGACCCATGATTTTCATTAAACAGCTCTTCATCCTGAAGAGTTGGGGCAGACACTCTCTGGATACCACGAGTTTGCTTCTGACACGTGTTACTAAAACCAAACTCCAATACACAATTAGCTTTATGCTCGTACAGTAGTGATTGTTTTCCATTTCTCGTGCCCAGGACGGTGTTCACATCCCTTTGCCTGAGGGAATCAGATACTCCTTTATTACACAGACTTCTAGTAGCACCTCCTATTCTCTCCAAAGAGTAACATCTTGCCCTAAATGTTTGAGGTGGATCTTGCTCATTCCTGAAGCCTGAAAGATTCTGACAACTTCCTCCTATCAGATTATCAGCACTACTTTGTTTACATGTCAGTTTATATTGCTGCAATTTCTTTGCACATTGTTTTTGAATAGTTAGCTCTTCTGAAGAAGACTTCCTGGAAGCTTCATATTCTGTCTTCTTTTTGTCCGGCTCTTTGCGAAGCAGGCTTAGAAGAAGACACTCAGTTGACTTGAAAGAGTTCAAGTGAAGAATTTTTGAAGGTTGTGGGTCACATTTCTCATCTCGGACAGAATGTTTTCCACTGCATATATCTGGAATTGTGATGTAGCCACACATAACTATCAGAAAATGAAATATAAGTTAAGATGCAAGTGGTATGAAAATGAACAAGTTCAGAAAGAAAGTTGCTAACTGAACAGAGAAGACAACAAATGTAAGATACTAATTTATAGTTAACTCTGTTAGTAAAACCTAAGAAAAATTTAGCTCAGTTCAAAAGCAGTCTAACAAGATCATTACAACAAACGTGCAAGAACAAAGAAAGTTACCACACTGCAATAGTGAGGAACAGACAGGAACAAGCACATGTTTTTTAAATCATGGTTATTGCATATTTAGAATGTTAGCTCAGGCAACAATTTATATAGATGTTATAAGACAGAACTGCATTTCAATCAATACTGTAATGCAGAACAACAACACTGATGATCTTCCTCAGATTCAAGCTGCCAGACAGATTAGGGGCTCAAGGTCTGCTTTGAATGACAGATTTCTCCCCAGTTGATGTAAACTTACAGCTTGCACTGATGATTTCCAAATTCATACATACCTAAAATATTAACAAAAAGCTCATAGTATTCAAAAGTAAGTAATGGCTCAGGGAGACTGAGAAAGTAGTCAGCAACCGTTCTGAATACGTCCCGTTCAAACCCACTGTAAGTTGCTTGGCTCATGTCGTTATTTCTAGGCCCTAAAAAGAGGTAAAGAAAAAAAATTCACACAAGTATTTACTCTCACAATTCCATTATTAAAAAAAAATAATTAAAGAAATCAACGTAAGTTTGTTCTTGGAGGAACAACTGTTTCACAAGGAAAGAATCCTGTCAGCAACATACATAGACGTTGTTCAGTTCAGCACTGTGCCATTTGTCATCAAAAATAGAATAAAATATTCTACATAGCCACTGAGAAGTTGTGCTCAGTTTCAACAAGCTGTTCCACACCAAGAAAAGAAATGAAAACTTATTTATGCCCTTTATAGGTTCCTCAGAAAAACAATTCCAAACTTCTAGCGTTTTCCTTCATTTCCAAACTAGAGTAATCCCAGTTCTCCCACATGGAGCTCTAGCTTCCGGACTGAGAAGCTCGTGGTATGACCAACTGTTGAAGAACGTACTGAGAAGCCAGCCAAAAGTTCTGTTCACCACTACTCCTCAGGTGGAACTTTTCTTCAGAAGTGGACAGATAATGCAATAATTCAGGAGATCTGGTTAATAAACCTTGCCCATGTTGCTACAGATAAGAAAAAGAACGAATGAATGAATGGGGTCCTGACAGGAATAAAATTTGACACTGTGTAGATCTTTTAACCCTGATGTTATCATACTCCCCCGAGCTCCTACAAACGAAATAAGCTACCTTACAAAGCCAATTCTAATGAATCAGGAGAGGGCAGCTTTAATTAGACCTAGAAAAATTTAGATTTTGATACGATCAAACTTTATAATCATAATCACATTATCACACACTACACTAAAAATATAGTCGAGCAGTATTCCCCCTGCCAGAGTAAGTATTTTTAGTTTTCACTGCACAAAGTAACTACTGCCTGAGTCACTCGGTCACAGTCTAGCTAGCAGATGCAGAGATAAAGTCTCCACTTGAACTCATTTACTCAAATTAGAAATGGAGAATTCAAAAAGCCAGAAAGCTTGCTTGCAGTTTTCATCTCACGAGTGCCAAGATCTATCAGTTCTAAATACAGGACTGACGTGGGAATTAAGGTATTGAAATTTCACAGGCTGAAAGAGTTGGGGCTGTTCAGCCTGGAGAAGAGGAGGCTCCGGGGTGACCTTATAGCGGTCTTCCAGTACCTCAAGGGGGCCTACAGGAAAGATGGGGAGAGGCTGTTCAGGAGGGCCAGTTATGATAGGACAAGGGGTAATGGTTTTAAAATAGAGGGAGGTAGGTTCAGGTTGGATATTAGGAAAAAATTTTTTACTATGAGAGTGGTAGAACACTGGAACAGGTTGCCCAGAGAGGTGGTGCATGCTCCATCCCTGGAGACGTTCAAGGCCAGGTTGGACAAGGCCCTGAGCAACCTGATCTAGTTGGAGATATCCCTGTTCCTTGCAGGGGGGTTGGACTAGATGACCTTTGAAGGTCCCTTCCAGCCCTAACCATTCTATGATTCTATGATTCTATGAAATGCTCAAGGACCAGCGATCAGCTGTATTTTCCACTTCGATTTAAATCCACTCACCCAGCTCTTCCCTGTCCTGCTTTTCCCAATAGTGCTCTTCATGTAAGAGGCTCTAAGTATTTGGGAATGCAGCTGAAGGAAAAGGGTCATGTTTAAGAAAATAAAAAAGGTAATTTTCCAAAGAGCATGTGCTGCAAACTGAACTTCTGAAGTCACACTAATCCTACAGGGACCCCTCCCACAGTTCCACCGAGCAAGAGAGACATGCAGATGCATGAACACACACCGTTCCACCACGTCGTGGCTTTGAGGGGAGCTAGTGAAGATTGCCAGGAACAGGGGCAAGAATTAGACACAAAAAGAGCTCATCATCTCAGATTTCATTCGAGAGGCACTCATCTAACTCGAGCATGCCCTGTGAGCCAGTTAAAGAGGCAGTTTTATAAAAAAAGAAAAAGCCATCCTCTAGTTCTCTAGAATATTTTCCAAGCCTGCTTCACAAGGAACCTTCCATAATCGTGATATGTGTCTGTAACACAATTTCGAACCCATCTGGGAAAGGAAACCTCAAAGACAGTCTGAAGTTCCCAAAAAATCAGTGGCAACTTCCCCAGTGAGCCAAGACTGCCCAAAAAGCATGCCCTGTGAGCCAGTTAAAGCATGCCCTCAAGCATGCCCTCGAGCATGCCCTGTGAGCCAGTTAAAGAGGCAGTTTTATAAAAAAAGAAAAAGCCATCCTCTAGTTCTCTAGAATATTTTCCAAGCCTGCTTCACAAAGATGAAGTTTCCATGATCGTGATATGTGTCTGTAACACAATTTCGAACCCATCTGGGAAAGGAAGCCTCAAAGACAGCCTGAAGTTCCCAAAAAATCAGTGGCACTGTAAAGGAGAAAGACTATTAGTACCGCACAGGTCTGCTACAGCACATGCTGAAGAACAAAACCACTCCTTCATTAGCAAGAAAATCCACATCAGACTGAGCTGTGAGAACTGAACTTCATTAGGTTCACTGCAAAAGTTACTTTTTTTTCTCCCTCCAACGTGTGAAAATCTGTGTTAACTGTATTACTCTGCAGCAAATCCTTTCCCAGTAGTTCCAAGGCAGCTGCTCAAGCACACATGACTGATGCCTTAGTTCAGAAAAGATTCTTCTTTTCCCAAGTTTAAAATTTACCATCACGTCTTTCTAAATTTTACCTTAAGCCGACACACCAAAGAAAACAACCAGAAGCACTAAGTTTTCTGTAAGTTGTAACCACCTTCAGTTTTACTGCTTGATGTTTCACACACTACCACCAAAACAAGGGCTGAGTGCAGATGGACTCTCATTCTGCCGACAACGAAAGCTCAGCTCTGTCACAAAACACGTTCAACAGCTAAAATGTCTAACTTTAAAAACTCATCTACTGAACTGTAACTATAAAAGGTGTCTCACAGGGTTTTCCATATAAGCTTTTTCTAAAGACCAGTTGGAGAAAAAGGTGGGGAAGCAGGTAAGGAGGTACCAGAGGAGCTGTATTCCAAGTCCAGGATTCAAGAACAAATGAATGGAACTCTTCCTTCTGTTGCCAAGACAAAATTAGTAGACTATAAAGCTGACTATAGGAGCATGCTTTTATCTGAAACCTATTGCAAAATTTTGTTTGTTTTCTTCCAAGACAAACAAAAAACTAACTGGTTTTCTGTGACTTGGCCTCCCCAGTTTCATATGAAATGTAGGAAGTGTTTCAGTCCAGCTCAAAGCCAGTAACTGGAAAAGAAAAGTCCTTTTACTCCTGAAAAACTGCATTAGAAGAAACCACACACAGGTTTTGGCCAGCCATTCAAAGTTTTCTCCCTGCCTGACTCTTTGTTAATAGAAATTATTTTCTCAAAAAGCAGTCCTTCGCTTTTTCACAGCCTTGGACAGCATGGTTCCACTGAAAGCTTAGAGTTCAGTTAATTCTCCTGTACATTTCATGAATTAAGAAACACTGAAGCCCCTCTTCTTCCACTAATTGAGTCTGTTCATGTTGTCAAAAATTCTTACGCAGAATCGGACGATGCAGCCTAAAAGCAGGCTAACCAGCTAGACTCCTAAAGAACTGGTATCTTAATTTCCTGAAATACCTGTAACACGTGTTAACTCTTTCAGGTTACGTTTCCGTGCAATACTTTGATATGGATTGCTGTATGTAGATTATTAGCACTTAGATTATTTGAATTTCCAAAATGAAACACCACAATTGATCTTAACATGTAAGTATATCTCACTTTCAACTCTCAAAACAGGTTTCTGGAACTTCAAAGCTATTCAGTGACTTACAGTACGCGAGGCATTTCATAGCTGACAACACCCAGTGAGGGAGGTCTTCTGAAATAAACAAACAAGTATATATTTATACACAAGTTCAAAGACTTAACTAATATGAATAGCAGCACACATGTATTAAATAATAGCTTAAACACAAAAGACCGAATTTAAAACTAATTTTAAATATTACTACATGTGTAGTTTAAAAGTTAATGCAATACACCTACAAAACCTTCTAGAGAAATAGACTGAACTATACTGGAGTTTGGGAAAAAAGGACAGAAGGCAGACTATGAGACATATTACTTTAATTATTTATTGTTCATTGTAATTACACCACGCAGAATCTTTATGCAAAACCAGAAAAAAAAAAATCTTACCTGATTTGTCCTGCAAAATAACAACACCATGTTTGCTTGTGTGAGTCATGTTGTATATGACATACTCAGGAACTATCTGGGCTGGCTGCAAAACTTCTTCCAGAGACGGAAGGCCTAAAATGGTTTGCAAACTGTGGGGAGGAAGAGAGATGTTGTGCAAAAGGTTTGCTAGTAATGAAGGAAAACAAGTTCTCCCCATATCTATTCAAACAATGGTTACTTGATAAACTAGTTTACTGTTTAATAAATTCTCACTTCCAGAAGGACAATTTGAGGATGTGCTTTTTCCTGGGAAGAACACCAAAAATCCATAAAAAAAAGATCATCTTACGGTACTGAAAGTATACTTCACCACTAGCAACAATGTCAATAAATTTCTTAAATGCAACAACTAATGTTAATGAACACATTACAAAGCATACATAAACAAGAGTTAGTAAAAATACGCAACTTAAAAAATCATTTAAAAATTTCAGAAAAATTTGGCAGCCAAAAGCTTGGTGGGCCCATTACATACGCGAAGCATATAGACTAGAAGGTGCTTTTTATGATTTACTTACTGAATTAGAATGATATTTCGCCAAGTTTCTTGCACATATTCCTGGCTTACTTCCTTCCTATGCAGTGTGTCTTCCTTGTTTTCTTCTATTATATTAGGCTTTGTTTTTTCTACATTTTCCTGAAAACAAGTGGGTTATACCATCAGATAAGCAAGCCTCTTAAGAGAATTCATAATGAAGTAAAAATTGTTCTCAGTACAGGGCGTTCTGTGGAACATTAAATTCCAAAACATGAGCCAGGGAGTAACCTTAACCACCTCAGCAATGAAATGCAGGCGTACCCACCTAAAAAGCGAAAGAGGACACTGGGAAAAAAGACCTGACCAACTCAGAAGTCAGCAATTTAAAAGGCAAAACCACATAAAATCCAAACGTACTAGGAAGTGAAGTATCCTCCTTTAGGATCGCAATCGACATTCAGAAAGTATGCACACACACACACACATCTCAAAAGAACTCAACCTTTTTCAAAAAGTGAGCAGAACAGTGAAATAATTTGTGCCTTTTATTTGTCCTAACCAAAAAATATATTAGCTTTAATCAAGGACATACTGTCCAGATCATTTCTGAAACTCCACCTTGCAGCCCTCCCAACACTTTAAAATGCCATAGCAGGGATAATTCTGCACTGAAGGAGACGAACCAAACAAAATCCACAAGAAAAGGAAAACCTTCCCATTGAGGTGCTCAATTGCTTATGCACATACACACAATTAAAACTCTAATCTCAGATCACGTTGATACAAAATTAGCCCTATGCTGCAATGGGTGGAGCTGTGTCTGTGTGTGTCAAACAACCTCTCTTTCTCATTAAGTAACTTGGCTGCGTTAATAACACTCTGCCACCTACATTTCTCTTTCCAACAAACTATTGCCACCAAGTTTAGAAGAAACAGCTTCTTATAGTTTTAAGAGAACACTTAATTTCTTCTGTCAAATGCATAATGCCTTTCACTTGCCAGCATTTCCAAACTGCCATGTTACAGTACAGCTAGGATTTTACATGTATGTACTCTGCTTATTTGCAGGTTATTGAATAAAATCTCTTTTTGTGTGCTGAAGAGAAACAGCACACATCACCAAGACACTTCATCATAAAAATGTAGCTGTATCTTTCCATTATGCCTACATAAACATTCTATTTCACTCTAGAAGAACATACCAATTTATTTCTTAAGCTGGAAGGCAAGATGACACAACAGTAGTGTTACTAAAAGATGATTGCTCCTAGTTTTATTTTTTTTAAAGAATAAAGAAAATACATGGCAACTGTAACTATGTAAGAAACATAAGTTATTACCAGAGACTGTAGTAACTCGTGTTTTTTAAAAGTTCTCCTTGATAAATGCGGCAGTTTAAAAAGTCTTTCTTTGTCCCTAGAGAAGTTTTCCAAGTTCTCTTTTGCTGGATGTGAGCTTGGGAGAGGTTTAACTGGAGATGTTGAAGGAAATCTGTAATGAATAGGAGAGATGTTAAATACATCTAGAATAGAGTAGAAATGTAAGAAATCACTCAACCAAAACCGTATCCTGTGATTCCACACCAGAGTGATTCTGTAAGATTCTGAAGAGGTTCAGGAAATTAAGAAGAAAAACGCTGTTTTTTTTTTTTTCCTTTAGAATGCTGTTTATCATATTATAAATTAGCTTTGGGCTACTTTTCTTGATTCTAAGTCGAGCTGAAGATACTTGGATTTTTATACAGCACTGAGACCAGAATTCAAGAAGTGAGGGCCATAAATATCTTTAATATTAGAACTGAGAGTAGGCTGTGTTTCCCACTTAGACTCTGTAAAGTGCACAAGAGAGGTGAACACAGGACTGGTAGCACAGCACAGAGCTACTACAATCAATTCTCCTTGGTTCCCCTCCAAAGCACTTGAGTGTAGCACACATGCCAGTGAAAAACTTGGAAAAACATGGAAGCAGCCCTCAGCATACAGGATGTATGGTCTTTACTGCAAGTCAGAGTAAAGTGAAAAGGTGCTACTAAGTAATTTTTGGCCCAGCTACTCGAACCAAAGCAAGATATTTTCGAAAATCTGAGTGTTAAGATTTTGAAATAAAGTTCTCAACCTGAAGAGCTCTGTGAACTGGTCTTCGTTTCAGTACCTGTATAGTGCACCATTGTCTTCTAAATTTTCGGATCCCCATCTCCCTTTTATGTCTTCAATTACATGATTCTTGAGAAACTTCCTTAACAACTGAACAGTCTGCTGCCTGGTAACTTCAGGACCAAAGTTACTGTTATTCCTTAATACTTCATGGAGCCAGTCTACAGCTTCTGATGCAGTAAAACAGCTTCCATGTCTTTTGAAATGTTGCCTGTGTTTCCTCAATGGCATGCCTGCTCGGAAATACTTCGTAATTTCATTCCACTGCGTGGGAAACAAAACAGCAAAGAACAGCAAAGATTAAAGCCTGAAGATGATCATTGTAAGTGTAAGTTAAAACAATATTATGTTAATAAGCATATACACAAAATCACAATATTAACACTAACAAATATTGACAGTTATACTAAATAGTGTCATATTATTGATAAAGAATCATTAAAGTTCAGATTAGAAAATACATTTTTTGACACGGACTAAGCTGGGCTGTCCCTCAGAGGACCACAGTGCCCGGTTCAGCCTCACGCGATGGCAGCACTGTCGCAGCCTCCGCGGGAGATTTCACTGAGGTTTTTATCTCATTCTTCTATAACTGAAAACAATGCTACTTTCTCAAACATAACGGGTTTGAACAGCCCACTCCGCACATGCCCAGCATTTACATCAACTCAGTTTCCCAAGGCACTGCCAAACCACAGTCCTCAGACCTGGAGCAGCTCTCGGACACGAGCGCAACCCAGCTCTCACAGGACACAAGCGCCAGCTTTAAATCATAGAATCCCAGAATGGTTTGGG